CCCCCCGATGCGCTGGTAGTCTCCCAGATCAGAATTTACCTGGCTTTGTACGAGATTGACTTTCCAGCGCAGACCAAGCGCGGCCACATGGTCCAGCTTTACCCAATCAATCACTCCAGCGGCCCCCAGCTCAAAGAACTCGCATTCCAGCTTCTCCAGCCACAAGTGCCACAGTCTCAGTCGTCTCAGTCGTCATACCTCCTCATCCCGAGCACAAGAAACGAAAAGCCAACTTACGAGCAAAATCACCTCCCCCTAAACCACTGCCCAAGTCGAATGCTCCACAAGCCGGAACGCTTCTAACTCAGGTTAGCACTCATGTTGGCAAGCCGGGTGTCAAATCACTCCCAAGTCATGGCAAGAGCAAGCGCGTGAAGTCTTCAGCCCGCAAGGACACTTTTTTTTCGCCTTATGGCCGACCGGAACCTGAACAAGGCACGCAACCATCAAGAGCTAGGCTTGGAAAGACTGGAACTTCTTCAAGGCCCTCTTCTAGTCGTGCGCGATCGTTGTCGCAAATGTCTGATTCATCCGAGCGTTATGCCTTTCGTCGATCCCCACGATTAAGGTCAGCCCAACTCTCCGCAGACTCCGAAGACCGCTCAAGTCAAATATCAACATCACAGAGGGCCGAAAATGACGTGCAAGACGAAGAATCTGAAAATGACGTGCAAGACGAAGAATCTCAAAATCCCTCTGATGATGATTCAGGCACTCCATCGACTGTTTGCCCAGTTGATTCCCCCATCAACGCGGTGCCCTCTCGAGAAGCCTCGGAAGACACGCATGCTTCTGAACAGCCGACTGAAGAAGGTCCTGATTCGCCCTTGGAACCTTCACCGAACCGTAGGACCTTTGACAGCTTCAGCATTTCACCCGGACGATCGTCAGTTCCTGCTTCAGCCAATGGCAGTCAAGCAAGCCATTCCTCCCAGAAGACAACTCAAGAAGAGGATTCCGAGCCTCTAGCTCCTAGTAATTCCAATGCAGGTGCTCACTCTCCGATGGGCAATGCGTCCCCACGAGGATCAGAAGGTGTCACTGTGTCATCGTCACCATCGTCACAGCGGTCTTCGGTGCCGGCAGGCGACTTTGAAGAAAATCACACCTCTCGATCATCCCAGTCGTCTTCAAGGCCGGCAGATCAAGAGTCTGACCAAGACTATGATCAAGAGTCGGATACAATCCAACGGTCTTTGGTTCCGGCTGGCGACTTCGAAGAATACCCCGACACCCGATCATCCCAGGGGTCTTCCAGGCCAGCAGATGAAGAGTCTCCAGCTTCTCAACGCTCTCCCGTAACGGCTGGCGGCCTTGAAGAAAACCACGACTCCCGATCATCCCAGGAGTTTTCCAGGCCAGCAGATACGGGGTCTAAAGCTTCTCAAAGGTCTTCGGTGCGGG